TATATATTTTTTTTTTCGAACATATCACTCTAATGTAATATTCCAATGTAATACCAGAAAATCACACTAAAATCTAGATTTCAATACTCAACAACCAACACTTCAGCAATCAATCCCCCTAAAAAAAAAAATCTTCCACACTTCACATTTCTATTCCTATCCCAAAAGAGAATCAGAAAATTAAAAAAAGATATTCACTTAAACTCAATGACACCAAATCAAATAAATGTAACTTTCTAAAACAAAAAGTCCTAAGAAAACTCTAACATTCCTGCATATGACATTTATGAGTAAAATTTCTTTTTAACAAATCAAACTCTAAATTTTTAATTATATCAATTTAAATGTTGAACTTTTAAATTGTAATTTCCGTTTATCAACGTTGAAACAAACTAACGAATTTCTTTTTGAAAACAGTGTCAATTTTTCATTGAAAGTTAATATCAATCTCAACTTCACGAGGAATTATCCAGTCTTTTAGAAATTTTGACCAGGTTATGTATTCTTCCAATTTTATTAGTTGTTTTCTATAATATATAAAAGAAAAAATAATAATAATAAGTAACCAATAATATTGTAAGAGTATATTACGTAAGATATGGGACATACCTATGTGATAATTTTTCTATCTTCATCCTTACCACGCTAGATTACAAAGGAAAACTTAGTCAAAACCTCTTCATTGGATCCTTGTTTGGTGAAAAGGACAGTCAAATTTATTTTGCTTCATAAACCTCCTAAGGAGGATGCGCATAATTGAGTAAGGATAAAGTAAAATATCTTTTTTTTTTTGGACAATATTGTCAGAGTAATATACTACTATGAGACAGAGTAATATATTACTGTTTATATCAATTTCGACAGTAATAATTTTTTTTAAAAAAAAAGTATTTCATAATCAATATGAATCTTGTTTTATTAATCTTGATGATATGTGTTAGACTTTTTAATAATTTTTTTTTATACTTATCCGAGAAATTCTATTTCCACACATTTAATTGTCTCAATCCACATCATTTCTCAGTGCACACAGTTTATAATTTAATTATTAATTAATTTTTTCAATTCACACACTAAATGTATCAATTATACCTTTCACTCATATCATTGTACACACACCCCTTCAACCATCCTTCCACACACTTGTCCCTCATTCCACATATACTGTCACGGTTTGGAAATTTATAGACCCACAGTGCTACAACAGTCAAAGTGAAGATCCACATTGAAAAACTTTGTTTTATTAAAGACCTCAATTCCATTGAAGACCTCCATTGACACCACCATTGAAGAGACTCAATTGAATGATCATTACTACTAGCTGTGGTCTTTAGATAAACTGTTGAATCATCGTTGGGGGGAAAAATGTTAAAAAGGAAGACACACAATTAATGTGATGTTCCCAAAAGATATGAAAATCTGCCAAAAATGGTTTTATGGTTTGCAAGAAAAAGGGATTTTAAACCACCCACTTGCCCTCTTTCTTTGCATGAGAAAGAGGAGAGAGGCATTCATTGTGGGCATTCAAAAAAAAAAAGAAAAAAAGAAGAGGTCACTCAAGGTTAATCAAAAGGGAAGGAAGGGAGAGGGGGAGGGCACGGGAAGTAAGAGCAGAGTACAGAAAAAAAAAAGAAAGGAAAAAGAAATAGAGGGGTGAAGAAAAGATAAAGAATAGCGAGTAAAAGAAAGAAATAATTGAAGAATGCAGATTAAGGAAGGAATTCTGTTAAAAAAGACAGAAAAATAAAAATAAAAATACGGAGCAATTTTAGGTATTATTTATGTCTTTTTTTTTCTTTTTTTTTTTGTCTTTGAGAATTTCTATGCTATTTTGTGAAATCTGTCTCGAGTATTTATTTTACATGGATAAATCCGAATGGGTGCATTCATAATTTTTCTAAATCCAAATGTTGAGTTGTTTATTTCTTGATTGACTTTGAACTTCCATTGGTTTGCAACTCTTCCATATCAAAATCAAGCAAAAATTATGGAACAAATACGAAAACAATATAAATAATAGAGTATAAACCTAGAAATTAAAGCTATATAAGAGATGTTTTGAGAGTTTTGTTTTTAAGCAATAGAGGAGTATAAAGTGTGTAACAAGCAATGTGACAACAATAGATAAACTAGGACTTACTTTTTTTCAACTCAAAAGGTATACATTGAGATTTTTTTGCTCTTAAAAGATATGTACTGAGAATTTTTTCATATAATATTATAGATGTTGTTGGATGTCTATTATGATAATTTTTATTTAGGATATGATTGTCATTAAATTAATATTTCATTAAGTGTGTGTCCTAAGCTAACTAGATGTGTGAAAATAGAATTTCCCTACTTGTTCTTAATACATTAAAATTTTATTATAAGAGAATTTTGACCAAATTACCCGATTACAACCTTCCTATCAAAACATCCTAACCATCCTAACCATCCATTTAAATATTACCGTGCACCTCACATAGTGGATCAACTCTCTCTCCTTCCCATTCTCTTTCGCCATTGAAACCCACCCTCTCCTTACCCCACAACTGATTACCACTCTCTCTACCGCCAACAACCCACCCATAACAACCTTTATCATGGACCCATTGGAACCTCTTCCACCAACCCATTGAAACCCTTCATCATTGGCCATCTATGAAGTACGGGTACAGGTACGAGTACGACTATTGGTATTAGTACAATAGAGGTACGTTCATACAGTAAAATCCAAAAAAAGTAAGGTACGGGTAGTAAAAAAATATTTATTTTTAATTAGGCCATGTTTGTTTGGGTGGACTAGATTAGGTTGGATTAGCATTCCCATGACTAATAGTCCTAGGAATACGAATCCCTTTAGATTGTGTATCCTACCCTATGTTTGGATTGAGTTACGATTAAAAAGAGGGACTAATAGTCCAGACTTTGGCTTAGTCCTCCAATTTATATCACACCCTCCTCTGTGGGATTGAATAGTCCATCATATGTGAAATACCATATCCGAATGGATTATTAGTCCGTACTTCAATTGTTTAACCAAACATCGGATTAATAATTTTATTGGACTATTAGTCCAATCCCAAGCTCATGTCCACTCAAGCAAACATGGCCTTAGAGTAATACAGAAATTAATTAAATGGTTTAGTTTGTTAATATCCAATCTACAATTAATATTTAATACCAAAAATAAATGTATAAATCAAAATTAAATGTCAATATATTAAATAACTTACAAACTATAGTTTAATTTTAAAATCATACTAGTATAAAACTAAAAATAAAAAAGAAGCTTAGTGAAAAGAGTTTTATCTCTGTAGCAAAAGAAAATATTGTTACAATTGTGATACAGTACGATTTCAATATATACTAGGTACATCTGGATAGGTCAAGAATTTAGAAGAAAAAAAATTTAAGTACATGTTTTGTGTATCTTGTATGTATACAAAAATACCATATGAGATATTATACACCGATAAATACTCAATACGGGTACGACATATTTTTTGAAATACCCATAATTCACAACCAACCATGAATCTCAACAAATTCATCTTTTGTTGATTTCAGTTTATAGAGCTCAACAATTAATTCATCGATTTATAGAAATCCTCAATTTGCAGAGATAGAAATTATACATGTGCTCTTCTATCAATGATACAAACAAATCTAATTGAGAGGAATAAAAATAATCGTAGAAATTATGTGGGTCTGACAGTGTCACGTGATTGAATTATGTATTGTCACGTGTATAGCAATTCACAAATCCTAATCAAACACTATTATAGCATTATATGTGTAGTAGAACTCATGATGAGATGAGATTGTGTTGATATAGAAGTTCTAAATACCTTGTGATTGTTTAAAAAATAATTTTTAAAACATTCAAACTACTTGTTAGGTAAATCACCGAATATTTTAAATAGATCACACTCGATGAGTTGAGGTACGCTATTTGTATCTATGAATTTATCCATTAAATATTTTGATAATATTGAAAGATAACTTAGGGTACGACTGGGTGTTTTGTCTTGTAAATCATAATTGCGTAATGGTGCTGATCATTAGATTTCTTTATCATCAAGTGACGAATGTCATCTTTTCGTACACTGGTTATCCAAACAAACAAATATACAAATTCAACCATAAACCCATTTTTCGTTCCTGTTAATAAGTTGTTTTAATGGTGACCCATTCATCTATTTAGTTGGCCTGAAGCTAACAGCACCACAAGTGGGAGAATAGGGAAAAAAGTTGGTGTACATGGCGGTGGGAAATCTGGGACTGTTGTGGGTGGCCATGAGAGAAGTTGTTAAAGGATAGCAGTGAGCAGCCCATGGTAGGAGGTGGGGAGGGGTTGGTTGCTGATGGTGGAAGATTATGGTAATGAGATTGTGGAATATATGATGGTGGTGATGAGGTTATGGAAGAGTGCTAATGGAGAAATGTGTATATATATGTTAGAATGGTTTAAAGAAAAGGAAAATTGTATATATGTGTATATTGAATTAATTGAATATAATAGGAGAGCTTGTATTTATAGGCTGAACACAAACTTAGATAAGTATAGAAGGAGATAGAGATAAATCTAAATCTAATATATCTAAATCTAATATATACATGAATAGCCCCCCTCAAACTCAAGGTGGGTAAGCATCAACCAACTTGAGTTTGGAAACTAGATCACTGAAACGACTAAGGGGATGAGTCTTGGTGAAAATATCAGCAGGTTGATTAGCAGAAGAAATAGGAAAAAGATGAACAGTGCCATGTGTAAAATGCTATCGAATGAAACGACAATCAATCTCAATATGTTTGGTGCGATCATGGAAGACATCATTGTGAGCAATTTGAATGGCACTCTGATTGTCACAATAGAGAGAGGTGGCACCAGGAGAAGAAACACCCATATCAGCAAGGAGCCAGCGAAGCCATAAAAGTTCCTGAGTAAAGTCAGCAAAAGCACGATACTCATTCACAGTACTAGAACGAACAACAAGAGTTTGTTTCTTGCTACTCTAGGCAATAAAAGAGTCACCCAAGAAGAAACAAAATCCTGTAGTAGAACGGCGATCAATAGGATCCCCTACCCAATCTGCATCAGAAAATACATGTAACTGTAGACATGAGTGTGCGGAGTAGTGAAGACCATGAAACATAGTTCCTTTAAGATAGCGCAAAATGTGAACCACAGCATCATAGTGCGGAGAGCGAGGAGCATCCATGAACTGACTGACAATGTAAACATCATAGGCAATGTCTGGACGAGTAACTGTGAGATAAACAAGACTGCCAACTAGCTGACGATATAAGATAGCATCAGACAACAAGTGACCGTCAAGAGGTGTGAGACAAGTCTGAGGATCAATTGGGGTAGGAGCAGTCTTGTAATCGGTAAGACTAGCACGAGTTAAGAGATCAGAGGTATACTTGGCTTGGATGAGAAAGTAACCAGAAAAATCATGAGAAATTTCCAAGTCGAGGAAGTAACTAAGAAAACCTAAATCTTTCATCTCAAATTGGCAACTGAGGAATTATTCGAGACTAGAGATGCCCACTATGTCATCCCTGGTGATGATCATATCATCAACATAAAGAAGAAGGAGAATAACACCATGCTCTGTCTTGTGTATAAACAGAGCAGAATCATAGGCACTGGAAGAGTGGTGGAATTGAACTTGGCAAACCAGGTACAGGGAGCTTGTTTCAAACCATACAAAGCACGGCAAAGTTTACAGACCTTGGTGGACGGAACTAAGGAACCAGGAGGAGGCTGCAGATAAACTTCTTCAGTGAGATCGCCATTGAGAAGGCGTTCTTTACATCTATCTGACAAAGACTCCAATGGCGAGCAGCAACAATGGCAAGTAGGCTACGAACTGAAGTAAGACGAGCAACATGAGCAAATGTTTCCTCGTAATCAATCCCATATTCTTGAGTAAACCTCCTGTAGCTCGGCTTTTTCGCACCCCCTTTCGGAAGACGAATATGCCCTACAGTATTGGACTCCCGCGGTTCTGAATCTGATTTTACTAGTGCAATGTGAAATAGATAAACACCAAAGAGTCCCAATTTAGCAAATCTTTTGGAAAATTGATTTTGAATCAAATTGCCAAAAATGGACTGCTTTGCCAGATACAGAATCGCCACCTAAATATTTTTTGAGAAAATTTAGGAAACACATGACTCATGCCAAAAGCCATATGTCCGTCATCACCAACATTGTCTCGACTCGGGAACTTAGGTACGAGAGAGGAAGGTCATGAATTGAGCACCCCTGCTCACCCGATCAAAGATCGGTCTCTACTAATCATGATATGAATCTTATGTACATTGTTATATGCTCTTGTTACGGTTTATTAGGCTAGCATTACTATGTGATGCGCACACACACAAGTATAGACTAACTTGCAAGAATTAGAACATTTTGATTCATGTTTGTTTTGAAAATTGTTTCGAATATGTACCACTTGAAAAAGTGATCGCATATGAATATTACTCAAATTATTCCAATTTAAGCAACTAGCCTTCATCCACAGGCATTCAAAACAGTTATAGCAATTAAACACTTAGCCTCATGGCAAGCATACCTAAACATGGCAACAATCACATTCATGCAATTATGCTAAATCGAGTAAAGGCTCACCTAGTATTCCAAGCCAAAAAAATGATAAAGAGTTCAAAAAATACATGATTCCTAACTATGCGATATGACTAATGCAACACGTGCGATATGCAATCTAAATAGGCTTGGCTACTTAACATGGCAAATGAATCAATTAAGTAGCATGCGGTCTAAGTACGTATTCAAAGAAGTATTTAAACTAACAATGCAAGTTAGTATGATGAATCGAGCCTCGATGCATGCAATACAAGTGGATGCAAAACATGGATAATGCTAAACAAAACATGATGTCCCTAAACTAACCATCATAAGCTAGTAAATAAAAGGAAGAAAGACGTGGGGTTGAAAGAAATACACGTTATTATAACATTGCGCCCTCACATAGGAGGGTCCGAATGAACTAACTAGCTAACTCATTAAAGCTAAGCTAATTTAGGTAACTATTACAAATTCAAATGAATAAAATTAGCTAAACTACTTAACTAATTAATACAAACCAAATGAATTAACTAACTGACTAATCTAGCTAATTAAAATAATTACAACACGAGACAAATTAGCTATTCTAACTAATTAATTACAAAACCACTATTTTACCAACATTAACATATTTACAACACGAATCCTGAGGATCGAAGGAGGGCTCATGCATGAATGTGGTTTCTAACTGAAAAAGTCACTGTTTCTGCTACTGAATGCCTCTGTTGCACAGTAGAACATTTGCACTTATTTCCACCTCCAGACTAACTCTGTTTTGCTTCAAAAGGACACTGCTTGATTTTGCATTAGTGGCCAGCAGAGGGCCTTCCGTCCATTGATGGCTGAACTCCCCTACTGCAACAGAGAACAAATAGAGCAGAAACAGTGTATTCCCAAGGATTTATTTCCATAATTTACCCCTCCTTATCATTTGAACAGCTCAAAGGAGTAGTAAAACTTGATTCACAAACCATCAATCTATGCAATTTCATTGCATGATGGCCTATGAACCAAAGTGTGCAAGTTCAATGAATGCAATAAAACAAGACTCTCAAAACCACCTTTCTATCATGAAAGATCAAGGGAAGTAGTTGACAATGAATCTTGAACCATTTTCATTACTAATGAGTATGAAACGACTCAAGATTCAAGGGTTCAATTAATGTCCGATTGAACCCAAACAAGTTGTTATCTTACACCTTTTTTAGCCTCAATTTTAGTACTTCATTTTAGATTACCATCCATTCTTTAGTCAATTGAGTCCAAAGGTGAATTTAAGTTCTCTAATGGAAAGAGGGCTCAAACCAAGAGTTGCTTTGGGCATGAAAGAGACATCATACCGTTGGCAATGAACCCCCAAAGGGATTAAACCATTAAGCATGACATCTCAATCTCATGCTTAAACAAACAAGTAGTTTGAAACCACTTTCAAAGAAAAACAAAAGCCAAGAAAGGAGGGAGGTTGCAGAGATGATTAAGAGTGATTACAAGTATGGAAATCCATAAATAAATACTATCAACTCAAATAAGATGGTGTCTAAGGCCTAAAACACCAAACTCATGAGGACAATTACACTACAAGCATACAAAACAAAGCTCAAATGCAACAAACACTTAGAAACAGTCCTAAAATAGTCTAAAAACAGTTGTAAAACATGTTGAAATTAAGACAAAAATGGCTCAAATAATAAGCTAAAACATGGATCATGCTAGACTAGTAAGCAAAACACAATGAAGGGAGGCTAACCCCTCCAATTTTGGACTTCAAAACATGATTTTAGCCACTGCAATAACTCTGAAAATCAATGTTTAAAAGCTCAAAAAAAAGATAGTGCAAAGGTGGGAAACACAAGGGTAAAGGCCTTGAGAGTAAGATATAAAGAAGGGTGAACCACCCCTAACCTTTATTGACCTTAAAATCCAAGTTTTAGCTAAAAAATAGTTAGAAAATAGTAAGACAAATAGTGAATACAACAAGTAAAGAGGCAAAGCTGTATACCTCTTGAAAGCTCAAAGATTGAGAGGTTTGGTTAAGCGTGTATAGGCAAAGGTGAAGGATATGTAGACAAAGGTTAAGAAATTTGCAAGAGAGAGAGAGATAATTGTAAAAAGAGAGGAAAAATTTTACTTTAAAATTTTTCTCACCTCCAAATATGAGAGGGATGTCATCTATATATAGAAAGCATGAATCTCCCTCATAAACATCCAGCCATACATGTCACGACCCAAACCTGCCCCTAGGGGTTTAGCACCGTAACCGGCCAGTAATCTGAGATTACCGAAGGCCTGCTTAACAGTAATACAGTAATACAGAGTACATGGGCTGGCGAAAGCCAATACAGTAATTAAACAATGTCCAATGAGCTGTGACAGACTGTATGCAAAAAGACTTTTCATTCAAATACATACAGTCGGACAAAACAGTATGTACATATATACAATCATTCAGCTCAGGGACCTAATCCCTATTAAACAGTACATTACAGTAAACAAAACGGTTACAGAGACAGAAGGGGGAACTAAAACACCCCTAAGCCATAACTTGACAAGCTCGGAACCTCGTAGTGAGGCACAGTGGTTGGCTTGACAAAACTGGAGCTTAACCCCAACGCTTCTAGCCACGGTCTGGTGCCTGTACACCTACATATATATATGAGCAGTGAGCTAAAACCCAGTGAATAACACAATGCGTAAAGGGGTTAAGAATGAATGTCCTTACAGTAATGAAAACAGTTCGTTAATTCAGTATATCAGTCATTCAGTCATATGTGGTACATCCATTAGCATAACAGTGCAGTAAACAGTAGGTCTTAAAAGACCAAACAGCAAATGATGGCCATCAATCAGTAATAGTAGTGGTTCCAACAAAGGAACCGACAGAGATCTTTGTAATAGTAACAGTAAACAGTAGTTGCTAAGGATGCCACAATGCAGTTCAGAATATAGGACATACATTCATTCAATTAACAGTAACAGTTCAGAAAGCAGTACAGTTCAATTGTTCAGAAGATAATCATTTTGAACATATCTTTACACAGTTGTTACTCACAGAGTTCTGGGCTACGGTAAAGCTAGAGCGCGTCCCCAGTCACCAACCCTACACAGTTTACAGATTGAACACACACTAAGCTACACAGTTGGGAAAGATAATAACTTAATCCCTAATTTGCCTCGGTGTGGTTCTACATCTATATCCTCATTAAGATGTTTTAAACTAGGCCTAAGAATGCCTAGGATGGGATGAGGATGCAAAGATGCACTTTAAAAGCATTTTCAGACTTTTCAGAAAACAGGAGTCACGCTCGAGCGTAGGTTACTCCGCTCGAGCGGACAAGCAGACAAGGGTTTCCACTCGAGCGTAGAATTACCCGCTTGAGCGTTCTGCAAAACAGTCAAAAGTGCTGGATAGGTGAAAATCACGCTCGATTGGGCGCTCGACACCCGCTCGAGCATAAGGCACAATGTCCCGCTCGAGCGTAAATTATTCCACTCGAGCGGACTTCAAAACAGAACAAAATGCTGGGAGCACGATTTCCACGCTCGAGCGCCAGTCACCCCGCTTGAGCGTGAGTCCAAATTCTGGAAATTCCAGATTTGAACCTCAAGCTCAAAACCGAGTTTTAAACCATAAATTTCGATCCTCTTGGGCCAATTTTCCAGAAAACATCCCAAAACTCATACTTTAACATGATTCAAAGCTCAATTTGTAAAATCAAAGCCCAAGGGTGTTTCAAACAACTCAATTCAAACCAATTTTCATGAATATGAAGAACATGCAAACATGCATGAATTTAAACAATTTCAAAGCTTCAATTTCATGCTCTAATGAGCCAATTCTTCCAATGACAAGATGAAAACATAGACTTAACATAACTATGAGCATGCATGTGACAATTCTCCATGGAATCA